CATATGTCCTCCCGTTATCCCCTACATGACTACAGGACACAGCAGTGATGTAAGGGTTAGCTGAAGGAACAGCATCAGTGGATACGCTATCCAACACTCCCTAAATAGTCATATAGCAGCAGCAGGGAACACACTGTCCAACACATCCTGAAGTGTCATATAGCAGCAAGAATGGAAAGGTTATCTGACACACCACAAAATGTCACAAAATGTCATAAAGCAGCAGAATGGGACATGTTATCTGACGCACTCCGGCCCGAAGTCTTATATAGCAACAGCAGAAGACACATTATCCAAAACACCCCTAAATGACATATAGCAGTGGCAGGGGACACATTATCCAACACACCCCAAAATGTCATATAGCAGCTACAAGAGGCACATTATTACACACAACCTGAAGTGTCATATAGCAGCGACAGGGGACACACTACCCAACGCACTTTGAAGTATCATATAGCAGCAGGAGGGGACAATTTATCCAATACACTCCATAGTGTCATATAAAAACAGCAGGGGCACGCTATCCAACAAACCCAGAAGTGTCATGCAGCGTCAGGGGACAAGTTATCTAACACACCCTGAAAAGTCATAGCAGCAGCAGTGGGCATGCTATCTGGCAAACCCCAAAGTGTCATATGGCAGTAAAACTGGGAGTTTATAAAGCAAGCAAAGATAACCTTTGCCACCTGCCGAACAAGAAGTCTGCATAGCAAAATGGGAGACTTGGAAGCTTTGGTGCATGAGAAGAACTATGATATAATTGGTATTGCTGAATCTTGGCTTTGTTTCTCACATGATTGGGCTGTTAATATTCTAGGATATGCTCTCTTTTGGCGAGACCGGGAAACACGAAAAGGTGGCGGTGTTTGTCTCTATGTGAGAAGTGATCTAAAACTTCAAGTGAAAAAGGACTTTGTTGATGGTGAGTGTGATGGTGCTGAGACCCTTACAAGATAATTCAGAGTTGGTAACTGGGGACAAAGAGAAGGCACATCTATAAAATACATTCTTCAGCTCTGTGTACACCAAAGAGCAGGATGTAACTCAAGTCCATATGGTCCATAAGAAACAGTTAGACAAAATTAAGGTGAACAAAGCACCTGGACCAGATGGCTTACACCCACGTGTTCTCAAAGAATTGAGCTGTATAATTTCAAAGCCATTGTATCTCATTTTTAGAGTATCTCTAATGACTGGCATGGTACCAATGGATGGGCAAAAGGCCAATGTGGTGCCTATATTTAAAAAGGGATCAAAGTCTTTACCAAGTAATTACAGACCTGTAAGCTTAACTTCAATAGTTGAGAAGATATTTAAAAGTTTGATTACGGATCACATGCACTTAAACGTTTTTGCTTAAAAATAATATTATAAGCAATAGTCAGCACGGATTCACAAAAGACAGAAGTTGTCAAACAAACCTACTTACTTTTAATCAGGAAGTGAGTTATAAATTGGACAGAAGAATGGTTGTGGATATAGTATAAGTGGACTTTGTTTGATAGAAAACTGGCTTAACCACTTCAAGACCAGGTGTTTAGACCCCCTTCCTGGCCAGGCCATTTTTCAGTATTCAGCGCTGCGATACTTTGACTGACGTTTATTCCGTCATGCAACGCTGTACTGAAATTAATTTTATACCATTTTTTGGGGACAGATAGAGCTTTATTTTGGTATGTAACATGTGCGGCGTAATGGGCGCAATCGTCTTTTTTTAATTCTTTTTTATGTGTAACTTAAAAATTTTTTGGGGGGGGACTTTAATTTTTTTTCCTTTTTTTTTTCACTAAACTTTATTGCTATCACATACGGGGGCTAATAAAACCCGCCTATGTGATAGCAAAATATGTGACAGGTCCTCTTTATGGAGACATTTGGGGTCTCCAAGACCCCTAATGTCACCTAGGACCCCCCAAAAGAAGCTGATGAAGCACAGATCTGCTCCATCAGCTTCTTTGCAGCTTCTGAAGCTGGAGAGTGACACAAAAATGCGGAAGTGATGTATTATACAACACTTCCGCATTCTTTCAGAGGAGAGGGGACCGGAGGGAGCTCGTATAACGATCTCCCTCTGATCCCCTGTGACACAAGCGACATGCTGATCCCGGGCTCGCACCGGGCACAGCGGAGCCCTGGATCAGCGGGACAATGGCGGCGGGGCAGCGGAGGGGGGGGCCCGCACCGATCGTTGCAAAATACAAACGATCCGCCGGCTCTACAGCCGGCGGATCGCTTGTATGTTAACAGGCACCGCTGCCTGTTTTTAAATTGCGGTCATCTCCCGCTCGCGCGCGCCCAGCGTGTCTAAAGACGCCCGCTCAGATCTAGGGAGCTCCGGGCCGGCCATTTTTTTACTACGGCCGGCCCGGAGGTGGTTAAGGACCATATTCAGAGAGTGGTAATCAATGATTCATACTCTGAATGGTCTGAGGTTGTTAGTGGTGTCCCCCAAGGTTCAGTGTTGGGTCCCTTACGGATGAGGAAAGATTAGCTGCACTGAATTTGTTCTCTCAGGAGAAGAGGCGGGGGCATGATCACCATGTATAAATACATAAATGCTCCATATAAAGAGCTTGGTGCCAAATTATTCACTTTAAGGTCACTGCAAAGGACAAGGGGGCACTCTTTGCGTCTGGAGGAAAAGAGGTTTAACCTTTGCATACGGAAAGGCTTCTTCACAGTTAGAGCTGTGAAAATGTGGAATAGACTCCCCCAGGGAGCTTGTTCTAGCGAGCTCAGTTAACTATTTAAAAAAATCTGAATGTATTCCTAAATGCACAGAATATTACTGGATATTGAGTTCTTATAAGTATATTAAGCACCAGAGATTGTTGATCCAGGGAATATGCGATTGCCTTATGGGATCAGGAAGGATTTTTTTCCCCCTGTTGGAGCAAATTGAACTATGCCTAACAGTGTTTTTTTGCCTTCCTCTGGATCAAGAGTGGGTAATTGTGGGCATAGCGTTCTGTTTTAGATTTTCAGTTCTGTTCTAGGTTTTTCTTCTCTTTCTTTTTTATTTCTCTCATCTCTATAAGTTAAACTCGATGGACTTGTGTCTTTTTCAACCTGACTGACTATGTAAGTATTCAGCCTATTCTATTACAGGGTGGCTGTCATTGAGTACTTTTAAGACAGTGATAGGGTCACTTTAATGCCCAATTCCAGCCAAAACTTTCTTTTTAGTTTTAGATGATAGGAAATGTTAGAATCTCTGTCAACTCTTTATTGCTGTCGGTGTCCCCATTTTGGTGATTTTGCCTTACCCCCTGCCTCTTTAATGACATCAGACTAAAACAGAAAGTGTGGAAAAATCTTTATTTGACAAGTGTCAGATAATACAGTAGCGTATCTATAAAGGTCAAGTCATTAAAAGTGCAAGATATGATAGCTGAAGCTAGTTATATACATAACAGATGTAACAGAAAGACAGTTGAAATGTATACTATCTTTAACACATCAAAACCTTGGCCTACATATACTGTAAATAATACATCTCAAACAATCTTAATGAAGCACTTAAACAGATACACTGGGTTTTCTAATTCTCTTCACAATTGCTAAAAATAATTTCAACTCTGCCAATATATTTTTTTTTTTTGGTGTTCTGAAATGAACTCCGTGCTCAACTGTCATCTGAAAGGGTCAAAGCTACTAGTATTGGATGATAGTCAGCTAATACATACAGTACATAAAATGGTTTTACTGCATTGCCTACAGTGAGAAGTGTGCACAATGCAATCTTATATTTTATTATACACTTAAATACTGACCTGCTGAGTTCATCTGGTGTTATGGCAGTACCATTGGCGAACACACAGTATGCTGATAGGATCGTTTGTTGTGTAGCTCTAACAGAGAGAGAATCAGAAAGTGGTAAAAAAAACACTCTAAACTTACACTAATGCTTTCTAGAACATTACTGTAGACTGGCTAGATCAAGCCAAAAGATTCATCTTGATATCAGCAGTGGTTAAAGAAACATTCTACAGGAAAAATCCAGAATCCACCCACTAACTGCTGTCAATCAGCAGCAGAGCTCCTGAAGGGGAAGTAGTCTCTCAGAGTTCCTGATGGGAACTAGAGTCTAAGAGTTCCCCATTAGGTTGCGTCCCCTTACAGCAAACGTCATCAACCACTGCACCTGCCTGTGTGGCAAGTGCAGAGGCCGTGCAGGGAACTCAGTAACACTGAGTCTGTGATCTTATCAGGCTCAGTGTTACTCAGCTGCACTGAGGACGGAATGCCTGGTATGGCAGTGCTTGTGCCAAATTCATGTACCTGTACATGAACATGGGGCAAGCAGGGCCGGATTCCCAGCAAGGCCACCGAGGCCCGGCCTCGGGGCGGCACTGAGCAGAGGTGCGGCACAGGTTTGAATCACCCGACACCTGGAACATTGAGTTTCGGGCGGTAATTTACTTTCTACATTTAGCCCTGCTTTGCACAAGCAGAGCTAAATGTAGAATAGGAGAAATTACTTGTTTCTTTACAAGTGTTCTTGTAGTAATTAGACTGCCGGTCCGTCCTCCCCCCACCGCCCCCCTCTCCCCTGTAGTAAAAAAATTGTAAGAAAAATATAAAAAAATTAAGAAAATAATTATAAATAAAAAATATGTTAACAAATTATTAAAAAAAATAAAAAAAAGTAAAAGATGACAAGAGAAATAAAAATTTTAAAAGTAAAAAAATAATAAAAAGTGATAACAAAGTCATAAAAAGGTTAGAAAAAAAGAACACATTAAAAAATTAAAACCAACCCCGCATTCCCTCGGCGATGAGGGGGGGGCATTGTCGAACCCGGCCTTGGGGCGGCAGGGAGGGTAAATCCGGTCCTTGGGGCAAGCACAGCATTTACACAAATAACAGCATAACATTTGTCAAGCAGATGCACAACACAATTCTACGGAGTGCCATAGGCACTCTTTATGAAATCCAGGGAATGTGCTGAGCTCCTGCCTCACAACGTTATAAATAAAATGCATCTTTATTAAGCACAACTACAATCTCTAAAGACTACTTGTTTTCCAGTATCTTAAAGATAGCCAAACATAATATCCTCTAGTTATCACTTCATTATAAGCAAAAATAATGAGCCTTGTTTCAGAAACTCCTACATGTCAGTTCTGCTGCATCTGTTGTCAAAGCTTTCAGTCTGACATAAGGTAAATGCCTATGAGAGGGGACAGCATGGGATAACTTCCTAAATGTGCTACTGTCACTTCAATTTCTTATTAGCAGGCAGTGGGAGGAGAGGTGACTAAGGAAGCAGAACTTTAACAGACATTTTATGCTTGCAGCTATAAAAGTAAGGTAGGTCGTATACACTCACCAAACAATTTATTACAAACACCTGCTTATTCATGCATTATCTAGCCAACTATCTATGCTTAGGCAATCCTTCGGCAGCAATCCAATGCTTAGGATCATACAGATAAATGTCCAGGAGCTTCAGTTAATGTTCACATCTAACATCAGGATGGGGAAAAATGTGATCTCAATGATTTTACCATGTTATGTTTGTTAGTGCATGACACGGTGGTTTGGGTATTGGGTAGCTGTAACTTCTACTGATTTTTTTGGTAGCTTTAACTTCTACTGATTTTTTTCACCTTCTGCTGGTTATTTAACACTGGTTATCATCATACTATGATAGTATTCCACAATAGATTACAAATTAGAAGTATACATCTAAAGTATGGTGGACTGTCATTCAAAAAAATAACCATAACACAGTTTAGCAGCAGGAGAAAATAAAATGACCTGCTTGGAGCGGCCCCTTTCCACCATATGGTGATATCGTGGAACTATTTCTCAGATAATAGTTTTATTCAGTTTGAAATTTCCGGCATATTAGATTTTAAAGTACATTTAATTCAGGTCCACATGCTACAAGTGTCTGTTCCTTACACACTTGCAGAACAAAAAGTTATACTTTCTTCGAATAGAGTAGATTAGACTTCTACTGGTTAAAAGAATACATAAAAGAATAACTGAGCTCTAGGAGAAGAAAAAATATTACAAGTAAAAGTGAAATCTCAGTCCAAAAAATAAATCCCCCACTGAATGATAAATCGCCTAGGTGTGCACGGGCCCTAATACAGAGGTCTACTGCATCAGGATCTTGGCAGCTTTCCAGCCCTCTAATGTAAGCATGCAGCAGGTGGTTCTAAGCTATCAACAGAAACCGAACTTCAGAGTCTTTGTTGTGATCTTTAAGGAATTTTGAGAATGAATTTCTTTACAGTACAAATAGCTAGAGAGCTCAGGGATGACTTACTTCAAAGCTCTTTTACTGCTTGTTAAGAATTTGTAGATAAGTTAATGTCTAAAGGTGGGCACAGGTGTACTTTAAAGGGAGGGATTCTGATTGTTGTCAAATAATCTCACTAAAGAGCAGCGGAGACGGTCTTTCTCCCAAAATAATGTGGAAAAATTCTGGCAATGTTTTGTTAGTTTATATAAATAACTATAGCCAATTAATAACCTGTTATTACAAGCAAACCAATACTTAAAGTGATATTAAAGGCAAAAAATTTTTTCCCTCCCCCCCATGTAAATGTTAGCACTTACCTTAAATGATGTCTCTTTTTCCGATCTTCCTCTTCTTTCCCCATATTTTCATGTGTCCCTCCAGCGATGTGACGTCACTCCGATCCAGCGCTGACTGCTCTGTCTCTCCGATCCAGCGGTGTCTGCAGGCGGGTGCACGTGTCCATACACTTACCTTGCGTCTCTGCTCGTCTCCCGGCCGAGAATTGGAACTTAGCATGCGCCCGCCCCAAGATCCTTTGCGGCCGTACGAGCAGTTCCTGATTCTCGGCGCGGGAGCGAGCAGCGATAACGAGGTAAGTTTAAAATGATTTTAAGCGTTTTTGTGGTTTTTTTACACTTCTTGCCTATATCTACTGCTTGCTAGCAGTAGATATAAGCAAAAAAAACGGAGGGTTTAGAACCCCTTTAAGATTAACATCCTGTAACTTACCGAGAATTTTTTCTGCTTGTGTCTTCCTCAGATTCAATCCCAGAGACAAATACTGATGCACCAGTCGCCATTGACAGTTGCCTGTTACACAAAAACATTAACATGCATAATATCAAAATGCAACTAAAAGCAATCATCAGCTGAACTGCTAATGCTATCTAAGTGATATTACCACTATGTTTGACTCAGAAAATCTACTTAAAAGCTGAACTTCAGACAAAGAGCTGAATACAAAATTGAAGTACATATGTAGGAGATGTTATACATACCATGTAAAGTGATCCAGCCTAATCTGAAATTTTCACAGCCCAATCAGACAGCACAGCCAGGGTGGTATACTCCAGCCAAAGCTGGCCATACACTGAGCAATTTTCAGCTGGTTCTTGACATCTGCCTGACATCCTTTAATCAGAAAATCAAAGGAGCTGGGCAGAAAAGTTAGTGTCTCTTTTGAGAAATTTTCCCTTCACTTCCAGTCTCCTCTCCCACCTGGTCAGAGACACTAACAGCAATAAAACACCTCTTTAGTAGAGTGAAGAAGAGTTAGAGCTCCAGGAGTCACCCTGTGTGTCATGGAGTAACAGTTTTTCTTGAAACACGAAGTGAAGGGAAATATTCCCATCAGGGACACAAGCAACAATAGAAACTTGAAAATAGTGCAAACCTTTCTCCACTTTATACAAAGCTAAAAAAATACCGGGTTGGCTCATCTTTACCAGTTTATAAACATTCTAATGTAATATGCACACGTAACATGGGTGTCATTTATTTTCTTTACCACTTTACAATTCAAGGGCCCTTTAGTACAAGAACTGCATCTACTTTAAAGAAAAAGAAGTATGCCAGGAAAGAAAATGCTTATACTGTGGCACATTTATTAAGATGTGTGCTTTTACACTTATTATACAAGATGGAAAAAACCTTTTATAATAAATCAATTGACATGATATATATAACTTCATACCCCATGATCGAGACCACGGCTTCTGTCACTTCATCCACTGTCTTTGAGAAGCGCAATATAGATCGATAAGACTCATCTATTGTAAATATCTTCAGGCAAAGAACAACAACAAGAATACATTAAATGAGAATTACTAATGTAATAACTGTATAATATGAAATAAAAATGAAAATGTTATATATACGGTTTTATTTCTGGTATACCATAAAAAGCATAATACACCTTTATTAAGAAATCTCATAATGCACTAAAAGGGCCCAACTACCATAACATGAAAATATATAGCATCTACATCTTTATTTACTCAAGAAGATCACTTTAAAAGGTTTACTATAAACCTGTAGGTGCTTATCGATTTATCATATATTTATCATATATAGACCTGGCTAGTATATTTATAATGTAGATCTAAGCATGAGATAGATTAGTGAGAGTAAAAGCGTACATCAATCTATCTTGATTGATGTCTCGTACAATGGCCGCCAGCCCACTGGCATTCCCTGAGCTTCAATATTCTTATTGCATATTCAGCAAATCTTTTCTTTATAGAAGTAAAAAAAAAAAAAAAAAAATTCCTGACAACATTGCTGCGTTGTCTTTGGAGTCTTAACTTTCTTACTACTGTAATTTGAAGATGATGGGGGGAATTTATCAAAGCTGAAGCAGGCAGAATCTAGAGCAGTTATTCATATCAACCAATCAGCTTTTCTCTTCAGTTTTAGTTAAGCTTTGAAAGTGAAAGCTAATAACTGAATAGTTGCCCTTAAATTTGTGCAACGGTGTTTGCATAAATCTAAAAATATGGATGCTTTCATATGGCAGCAGAACTCCCTCGTGTCTTAAAAAAACTATCATATGAGCTACATGTAAGCTGTTCTTGCTGACCTCTCCTTTTGGACAGGCTAGTTGCTTGGCTCTAATATTGTTGCGTTGGCTTCAGTGTGCTCTGAAACCTGAAACTCTGACTTTCATTTACAGCATTTTTGGCCTGGATCAGTGACAAACGGAAGCCACATATAGCCAGTGAACCAACATTTTAAGTAAAAGACCGGTAATCATACCCTCCCCCTCCCCCCCGTTCCTTGGACCACCCCAAAATAGCCACCACAATTTACCTTTATGTAATAGCTACAGAATAGAGGGACAAATGTTCCATCCTGGAGTGTGCATATGATAGCAAACTCTGGGAGCAAGAAGGTAAGTGAGAGAAGGAACCTCGAAGGAGGCCTTTGTGACTTCAGAGAGTTACCCTGCTAGATTCTCCTGGTCAGAGAGAAGTTGAAGCAGGTTAAAGCTATGTCACCAATGCCATCCAGGGAGCTCTAGTTGTAAAACTCTGAGAACTCCTGAGATCTCTGGAGAAAAAAAAATAGTTTTTTTGACTTAACAGATGACATGCAAACTAGTAGGCAGTAGCTCCTAGGTTAGCACAGATCTGGTGTGAACGTTATCAGTAGACCAGTATGAGAAAGAAGAAACTGGCAGTGTGGCCTTTACAGCATTGGGTGGACAAAACCACGGGAATTCAAGGGTGTTACCAGACTCAGGCAGGAGCGGTACCCAGATACATATCAAAACTTGCACTTTCGGGTGGACTACATCAGTTTTTGGCATGGTTACTGTCTTACAGTTAGAGAGCGGGTGGTAATAAGTGGAGGGTTTCCTTTATCCATCGCTCTGACTGTTACATTGTATTGCCCCTTTAATGTTCTATCCAGATTGCTGGCAACCCTGCAAAGACAAAAGAGTGTCCATGTTCATGATTCCTTGTACTTGAGATCAATGTAAATGAAGGCAAATTTGCTAATCGTTATGATAATCACTGACCTGATGGAACCAATGTAAATATTATTTTCGTTAATGGTGATGGCAGTGAATAAATTGCCAAGTTGCTGGACTCCACCAGTTGAAAATATAAAATCCACTTTGTCAATGGAAAAGATTAGCTCAGCATTTAGCCCACTGTCTTTGTCTTGTGCCTGCAAAAAAAAAAAAAAAACTCTAAATATTCATAATATTTGGCCACAGTGGACACAATGTCAAATTTATGCTGATTTGTAAAAGGATGAGAAAAGAAAAATATGGTTTTATTAATTTATTTTGTTATTTTACTCTACTATTTAATTTTGTTAGCAGTTTTATGTATGACCTTCATTTGTTTCCATTAGCTGCTCTAAATGATGCCCATTTACAGAGAAAACTAGATATGGCTTTATGACACATTTTGCAGCTACTTTTGGCAAGGGAGTATCAGCTTATAAAGGTTTGGTATCAATAAATTGTATACGATGAAACATTCCTTGATACTAATAATGCATGTGATGGTTCTGCAGGGCATCAGTCATATCCAAAGAACTCACCCTAAACCCCACTCTTCAACCTAAATTTGAACTGCACACTTACTCCTAACTTTAACCCTAGACTTTAGTCTAACCCCTAGCCTTAAATTTCAGCCTTACTCCTAACCTAAAGGAGACACTGTCACCCTGCCGATGAGGGGGAAAGTGTGACAGTGCCTATACGAAGGGGATCCTCAACCCCCATATACTCACCCTACCAGTGCATCCTCACAGCTTCTTGCCCTCCACAGCTGATGTTCAAATCTGCTGTTGGTATCTTGAAGCAGTAGTAATGTTACTCTATCAGTCATGTGACAATGCCTGGGCCTAGCGATTAACTACTAAGCCTGGACACTGTTTCAGGGGAGCTGGTCACATGCTCCCCCAGAGAGCCGTAGCTAGCTCCTTTTGCGACCGAGTCAAAGATAAAAAAAGTGCCCCCCCAACGTGCGTTTGACGTCACCTGACGCCGAGCATTTGATGTCATGCACCCCGCCTCCAGGGTGTGTTTTTTTAATATATTTTAAAATTTAGGGGTCTAAACAGACCCCTGATATTTTCCTTTTAAAATAGAAAAAGAAATTGAGTCCTCAATCTATCTCTTTTTCTGTAGCCTCTGATCTAAATGAATGGGAAGTACAGAGGCTTTCCAAATATCATCCAGTTTCTGAATGGGGAGAAGCCTCTGTTCTGAGTGTTACTACCTATTCAGAAACTCATGCATGAACAGGAAGTGATGTAAAGCACTTCCTGTTCATTCATAACTGGGGACACATAGTACTATGTGTCCCCAGTCATTTACAAACACTGGAGTGATCAGCTGATCGCTCCAATGTTTGCTCTGCACACAGAGGATCACTAAATATCACTGATATTTATTTTGGTATTCCCACCAGCTTCAGAGAAGAAAGGAGCTGTGAGGGATGCAAGCAAGTGGGTGAGTATAAGGAGGGCAAGGAATACTAATTGCAGAGACACTGTCACCTTTCCCTGCAAGGACAAGGTGACAATATCTCTTTAACTTTATCCTATCCCCTAGTTTTAGCCCTAAACTCCAGCATAACTCCTAACCTTTCAAAGAAACCTTTCTTAAATTAAAGATGGAGGATAGGCTCTAATTCTGCAAGTTCTAGTTATCTGGCTGTATGCTAATCCTATGACTTCCAAAACCATGAGCAACTAACTCCGAAGAAAAGTGCAGATAAGGCCTTATAACTTTTCACTGACTTCCTTTACTTACTTCCATACTTTAGGTTCAGCAAACTAGCCAGACAATTAGCATTTTTCAGATACCCCTATTTCTCTCTGAGGAAAGGCAGCTACGAGGCAAGCCAAGTTGATCTAGTCAGAGGTGGGCTTGTCCAATGTTCTCTGATGTCTGTTTCTTCCATTAATACTGTGCCCCATAGCAGTTGCAGTAACTGCTAGATCTGCAGCCCTTGTATAGGTTCGTACTGTATGTTGTCGGATCACACCATTTTTTTTTACATACAACTAATGGGATGTCTGTCATTTTAGATAAAGCACTGCAAATTTACAATAAAAAGAAAAGTACCTTGACAGATGCCACTTCAGTGTTGATGACAGCAGTTTCAGGTATTACCACTGTAGAAATATAAATCAATGAAACAAACAATACAGACATCATAATGCAAAATTCTGCTCTAGATGTAAAGGTGTTATCAAAATATGAAGAAAAAATGTTAGTTGCTATACTAATTTAGGATAATTGTATATTGCTAATGTAGGTGTGTGTTGCCGGTATGTATGGTTTTAGTTTACATTATATACTGTGGTGACCGTGTTTTTCCAGGATAATGCAGCCTACTAGCATCCTGTGATGTGTATCTGCTCAGGAAACAAAGAAATCTATTCTCACACCTACTGTGGTGTTAAAAAAAAGTTATTTTACACCTGAGTCTTGAATAAGGAAGTTTGTAAGTACTTCGGTAAGGTTCAGTTATAAATCTGCAAGTCATTACTGAATCATGAGTTCACTTAAGGCCCCATTAATAAAGCAGTGATATGGGCTTATCATGGTTATACTGCTGCTTTAAAAAGAAATAAAAAAAATACACAAGCACATTTATAAAGCACGCCAATGTGCTTTTTCAATGTGTTTAGTGCTTTGCTTGCTTCAGCATTCCAAAGCAAAGTTCTATTTATTAAAATAAATGAAAAAAAAGAAAAAGCTATGGCACCAAGCAAGCCTGATCACCAGTCAAAGTCATGTGACTGGCCTCTCCTCCAATTACTGAGTGTCTTGTAGCACAGCTCAGCGAACATTTTGGGGGACACATCATGGACTGCATTTAATGAATGACTTGTAAAATACAGGTGTAGTGTGCAGTAAAAACAGCGGTGTCCTACGGAGAATGTATAGCGGTATTTGCTCTACCCTTGTTAAAAGTCATGTTTATTAAATCCTACATGACAGTTCAAGCTGTCATTAGCAGTTGTGATTTGACTAGCGGCTCTCTTTATAGGAGACTGAGATCCACTAACCACAACAGGCAAAAATGGCAGGGAAACCTCTTTTTACTATGAGATGCTGCCACTTACTAAGTGTTATCAGTCACTAAGATGTAGACATGAAAAGAGATCATTTGCAGAATAGAAATAGAAGACATGTCATAGCTGCAACTAAAGGGGAAATTCATGAAGGAGCCGAAGGTTTCAGCCGTAGCTTCGGCTGATCTTTCGGCTATCTTCAGCCGCCGGAGCCCTTTGGTTCAGTCGAACCGAAGGTCTGCTGTACGGGCTATTCACTATAGCCCGTACAGCAGCCGAAGGTGGCCGAGCGGCTCAGGCGAGCTGAAGGCATATGCTTCGGCTCGACTTAGCCGAAGTGACAGCCGAAGCCGGGCGAACGGCCTGCAGAAGGCCGGCTTTTTGCTTCGCAAATGACAGCTGGGCAGAGCCAGTCGTGATCTCACGGCTGGCTCCGGCTAGTTGTAATGACAGATCAGCATCCCCAAATGACCTGGGGACGCTGAACTGTCATTAAACAATAACAACTGGGCGAAGCCGGCTGTGACGTCACGGCCGGCTCCATCAAGTTGTTATTCATTGGCTGCGACCTTCTAGAAGACTCTAGCAGGTTCCGGCCAATAGGAAACAGTTGGGCGGAGCTAGCTGTCACTGCTAGCTCCGCCCAATTGTGTTTTTTTTTAAATATTTATTTATTTTTAAATGTTACTATTTATTTACATTTTTGTAATTTTTTTCAACCTTTTTTTCCGACTATTTTCATTGATTTTCTATTCTGCTCGGTACCATGGCTCTGCGGCATTCGGCTATTCACTCATTCCCATCGGCCCCTATGTGAATAGGGGTGAACGGCAGCGAATGAGCTGCCGGAGCTTCAGCTCAGCCGATCCAGATGTTGGATCTGCTGAGTCGAAGTCCTTCTGCGCTTCGGCTCATGTTCGGCTGACCGAAGTGCAGCCGAAGGCAGCCAATGTACGGCTGACATCAGCCGTACTGAGCCAGAGTGAATAGCCGAACGTAGTTCGGCTCACTTCACTTTGGCTGAAGAAATATTGTTCATGAAAACATGTTTGATAAAAGCCTTGGTTTTGTCTCTCAGTTTTTAATTTACCTGACTAAAAGTACAGTAAGCAAGTTCTTATGGGGTAAATCTTTGTTAGAACGTACCAAATGCTTGTGTACTTTCTAAGAATTCTGGGGCATTGTCATTGGCATCTTGTATAATCACTCTCTGGGTCACTAAGCAGAGACAAAAACAATATATTAATACATAATAGTATATAAAGTTACTTTTGAAATTTTACATTTTAAAATTAAAATTCTACTTTTCAAAGATATCTTTTAAATTGTACCAGTTACCAAAGACCTTTCAGCAGCTTAATGTAAAGTAATAAATACAGACAAACACTATTCAAGCATATATTGTGTATCCAACTAGTGACCCATTTAGCTACTGTCTATTTGTCCTGCAGTCAAGAAATCACAATATGTCTATCTCAGTGTTTCTAAACCTTTTTTCAGTCATGGCATTTATTAAAAGTATGAAAAATCCCGTCTGCAATG